ATGTGCTCAGGCAGCTCGAGCTTAAGATCGAGATCAGTTCGGTCAGGACTCGGATGCAAAGGAGGACTCGATCCACAACGCTATAGAGCACAATCGTCACGTGGCACATCGCAATTCAGCACGGCGCAGCACAGCACAGCCCTCGGCACGGTACATCAAGATCGATACACTCGCTCAGCATTGCAACTCGCAAGTTCTTTGGCACGTTCCGTGGCGCGTCCTGTGGCGAGTCCCCCTGGCACGTCGCGCGGCGCGTCCCCTGGCACGTCCCGTGGCACGTCCATTGGCACGTTCCGTAGCGCGTCCCCTTGGCACGTCCCGCGGTGCGTCCCCATGGCACGTTCCCTGGCACGTCGCCTGGCGCGTCCCTCGGAACTTTTGCGGCGCGTCTTCTTAGCATGCCCCCCCGTGAATTAGCTCTTGGGCAGCTACTATGTGCTCAGGCAGCTCGAGCTTAAGATCGAGATCAGTTCGGTCAGGACTCGGATGCAAAGGAGGACTCGATCCACAACGCTATAGAGTACAATCGTCACGTGGCACATCGCAATTCAGCACGGCGCAGCACAGCACTGCCTTCGGCACGGTACATCAAGGTCTACACTCGCTCAGCATTGCAACTTGGCAAGTTCTTTGGCACGTTCCGTGGCGCGTCCTGTGGCGAGTCCCCCTGGCACGTCGCGCGGCGCGTCCCCTGGCACGTCCCGTGGCACGTCCATTGGCACGTTCCGTAGCGCGTCCCCTTCGCACGTCCCGCGGTGCGTCCCCATGGCACGTTCCCTGGCACGTCGCCTGGCGCGTCCCTCGGAACTTTTGGCGGCGCGTCTTCTTAGCATGCCCCCGTGAATTAGCTCTTGGGGCAGCTACTATGTGTTCAGGCAGCTCGAGCTTAAGATCGAGATCAGTCGAGCTCGGATCAGTTCGAGGACTCGGATGCAAAGGAGGACTCGATCCACAACGCTATAGAGCACAATCGTCACGTGGCACATCGCAATTCAGCACGGCGCAGCACAGCACTGCCTTCGGCACGTACATCAAGATCGATACATTCAGCATTGCAACTTGGCAAGTTCTTTGGCACGTTCCGTGGCGTGTCCTGTGGCGAGTCCCCCTGGCACGTCGCGCGGCGCGTCCCCTGGCACGTCCCGTGGCACGTCCATTGGCACGTTCCGTAGCGCGTCCCCTTGGCACGTCCTGCGGTGCGTCCCCGTGGCACGTCCCCTGGCACCTCGCTTGGTGCGTACCTTGGCACGTCCCGTGGCACGTCCATTGGCACGTTCCGTAGCGCGTCCCCTTGGCACGTCCCGCGGTGCGTCCCCATGGCACGTCCCCTGGCACGTCGCCTGACGCGTCCCTTGGAACTTTTGGCGGCGCGTCCTCCTAGCATGCCCCCCCGTGAATTAGCTCTTGGGCAGCTACTATGTGCTCAGGCAGCTCGAGCTTAAGATCGAGATCAGTTCGGTCAGGACTCGGATGCAAAGGAGGACTCGATCCACAACGCCATAGAGCACAATCGTCACGTGGTACATCGCAATTCAGCACGGCACAGCACAGCACAGCCCTCGGCAGAGTACATCAAGATCGGTACACTCAGCATTGCATTTGCCCGTCGCCCAATCAAGTGTCTTTGAAACGTTGCCAAGTCTTACATTTCTATATTCCTTTCCGGGTTCGTGGGTCGATCATGTTTTTACGTGCCCAGGTCACCCAGGCAGACGTCCAACATGATTATGTGTTGAGGATGTCTCGAGCGAACCACTTATTTTCACGTGTTCAGGTCGCTCAGGCAGATATCCAGCATGAGGAGGTGTTGAGAAAGTCTCGAGCGAGACGCTTGGTTTCTCGTGTCCACTGGTCGCCCAGGCGGATGTGTAGCATGAGGATTCGGGCAGGATGTCTCGAGCGAAACGCTTGTCCCCAACACGTTCCGTGGCGCGTCCCCTTGGAACGTCCCACGGTGCGTCCCCATGGCACGTCCCCTGGCACGTCGCCTGGCGCGTCCCTTGGGACGTTCCGCGGCGCGTCCTCCTGGCATGCCCCCCTGTCAATTAGCTCTGGGGCAGCTACTATGTGCTCAGGCAGCTCGAGCTTAAGATCGAGATCAGTTCGGTCAGGACTCGGATACAAAGGAGGACTCGATCCACAACGCTATAGGGCACACTCTCGGCATGGCACATCGCAATTCAGCACGGCGCAGCACAGCACAGTCGTCGGCACGGTACATCAAGATCGATACATTCAGCATTGCAACCTGGCACGTTCCCTGGCGAGTTCCGTGGCGCGTCCCGTGGCGAGTCCCCCTGGCACGTCGCGTGGCGCGTCCCTTGGCACGTTCCGTGGCACGTCCATTGGCACGTTCCGTGGCGCGTCCCCTTGGCACGTCCCGCGGTGCGTCCCCATGGCACGTCCCCTGGCACGTCGCCTGGCGCGTCCCTTGAGACGTTCCGCGGCGTGTCCTCCTGGCACGTCCCCCTGTCAATTAGCTTTGGGGCAGCTACTATGTATTCAGGCAGCTCGAGCTGAAGATCCAGATCAGTTCGGTCAGGACTCGGATGCAAAGGAGGACTCGATCCACAACGCTATAGAGGACAATCGCGGCGTGGCACATCGCAATTCAGCACGGCGCAGCACAGCACAGCCCTCGGCAGAGTACATCAAGATCGATACACTCAGCATTGCATTTGCCCGTCACCCAATCAGGTGTCTTTGAAAACGTTGCCATGCCTTACATTTCTATATTTCTTTCCGGGTTCGTGGGCCGATCATGTTAAATTGGCGGGAGGCCATACCCAAAGGATTGGCGGTACGACCAGTTGCCAAGGACTGGGAAACAGAGAGACCGCATAACCCTTGGGGATTATGCCATTGCGATTCACGGCGGGGCGATTATCTCCTCAAGCGGGTTTGGGGACCCAGCCCAGCAGCCTTCAACCCATGGGGGTCCCAGGGCCCTCTGTGTCGCCCAGGACTTCTTCTCTTGAGGCTGGGCCCCCCTCCCAAAGACTGGCCAGGAGAGCTCGAGGAGGCTCCTCAGAGCGTCAACAGGGTGGGCCTTCCCCTGGCTCGTGGCCTTGCGCGTTCCGTGGCAGGTCCCCTGGCGTGTCCTCTGGCACGCCACCTGGCCGTCCCTTGGCACGTTTGCGGCGCGCCCCCTCGCACGTTCCGTGGCGCATCCCATGCCACGTCGCTTGGCGCGTTCCCTGGTGTGTCCCCAAGCGCTTCCCTTGCCACGACCCCTGGCGCGTTCACTGGCTCGTCCCCTGGCGCGTCCAGTGGCGCGCCCCGTGGCACGTCCACTGGCTCGTCCTCTGGCGCGTTCCCTGGCTCGTCGCCTGGCGCTTCCCCTGCCCGCTCGGTGGCGAGTCCGCTGGCGCGCCCCCTGCCGCGCCCCCTGGACCGCCCCCGTGCGCGCCCCCGGGCGGGGCGACCCTGGGCACGGCGCCCCCCCGGGCGCCCCCCTGGCGCGCCCTTCGGCACGTCTCGTGGCAGGTCCCTGGCACGTCCACGGCACGTCCCCTCGTGCGTCCCCTGGCACGCCCCCGAGCGCAGCCTCTCGTGCGCCCCTGGCAGATCCCTGGGCGCGTGCATGCTCCCTGCGCCCCCATGTCGGTTCATCCTGTCTCGGACCTGGATGTGATCCAGATCCCGCCTTTGGGGGGGCCCTTGATGGCGGTCTCGAGTGTCACCCTGGGCCGGAGAGCGCGAAATGGCGTGTCGAGCTCCTCCTTTTGGGACCCGACTGGGGCCCTCTTGGGTCCGTCTTGGACCGTTTTGGGGGGCCTTTTGGGCAGTCTTGGGCCCCTCTTGGGCCGTCTGGGGGCCCTCTTGGGGGCCTCTTGGGCTGTCTTTGGGCGATCTTGCAGCCCTCGTGGGCCGTCTTGGAGCGTCGCCATCCCGAAACGGCGAGAATGCTGAAATCCGTCAAGCACCAAAGGACTATCAATGATTTTGGCTTCACGGGGCCCTCATGAGGGCCCTTTTGGAGGCCTCTTGGACGCCCCGATGGCCTCTGAGGCCGTCTTGAGGCAATCGTGGGCCGTCTTGGAGCGATCTGGACCGTTGGGCCGCTTGCTTGCTTGGACCGCCTTGGGCGCCTTTGGAGGCTCGCTTGGGTCGTTTGGTCGTCTTGGGGCTCTCTGCTGCCCTTTTGCGTGCTTCGCCCCAGGAAGGGTCTGCGAGGGGCCGCGTCCCCTGGCACGGTTGCGGCATGTTGCGGCGCGCCCCCCCCTTTTGACACCGACATGTCCCGTAGCTCATCCCACAGCCCGTTCCTTGACGCGTTCCTTGGCGTGCCCTTCGGCACGTTCGCTGCCGCGTTCCCTGGCACGTCCACTGGCGCTCCCCGCGGCACGTTCCCTGGCCTGGCTCGTCACCTGGTTATCACTGCGGTTGCCTGAGGCATTGGAGCGGTGTGGCAAGGTATTGGGCGGCCGTGGGCGACTCGTGGGCGCTCCCGTGCGCCTGGGCGGGTGCCGCTAGGTTTCGCCTGGTGGGCGGTCGTGGGCGCATCGTGGGCGCCCCGTGCGCTGGGCGGGTGTCGCATGGTTTCGCCTGGTGGGCGGTCGTGGGCGCATCGTGGGCGCAGAGGCCCCAGAGAGCACCACGACTGCCAAGAGGAGGACTGAGGCAACCCAGCAGGCCCCCAGAACGGCCCAAGACGTCAAACGTCCCACACAGAGCTCCCAGAGGAGCCTCGAAACGAGCAAGCCCAACGGGTCCCTCGTATGCCCTGGGCCGTAAGACCCAGGCCCAGGGCTTGGGCCCAGGGCTTGCAAAGTATGGGGTTCACTTGGAACGATTTCGGGCAGCGTGAGTGAGCTTTCAGCATCCACCAAGGTTTTCTGCGTTACGATGATGCTGGAAACCACCTGGAAGCCAATTCCCTCAGGCCCCTCCGCTGTCCCCCTTACCCCCGCCCTGATGCATGCTGCGGCGGTGGGGTGGGTGCCACCGGAAGGCCCCCACGCCGGCACCAACATCGGCGTACGATGCTTGTGGTGAAGGTTACAATCTTCAAGGATATCCAGGTGACGACGATACCACTGGCTATTATTATTGCCAGAACTATAGTCCTGGGTCTGGCTCACCGCCAACAGTTGAGCATGCAGTCAGTGCTGGTACAGCTGGAGTTGGCGAGTGCAGGGCGTTGTGCGACGCAGACAACACATGCACGTACTTTGCAAAGTATGGCGCTTATTGCAACGGTCCATGTTTGAGTACTTGGGAGACAAGATGCTTTTTGATCGCGGACTGCGGTGCCCCCATTCTATATCCATCCACAGGGTATTACGGCGCAGTATACTGTGAAAAGGCACAGACCCCCGCGCCAACACCAGCGCCCACGCCGGTGCCCGCAATCTTTTCATTATGTGCTTCCCCCCCTCCCTCTCTTTCTCTCCCTCCCCCTCTCCCCCTCCCTCTCTCCTCCTCGCCGCCCTCCGTGCGGCAGAGAGGGGCGTGGGGGCGGCGTGCGGCGAGCGGCGGCGAAGAGCGGCCTCGTGCTTCTCATGCTATTCTCTAGACCTGTTGGGTGTGCTGACCGCCGCCAGCGACCCCCCGCTGGCGGCGGTGGCGCGCCAGCGACGCCGGCATAGGCGTTCAAGGTTGAGGACCATCTGAAACGACGCGGACGCACCGAGGGGCAGGGTAACGCCACAGGACCCGACGGAATGCAACCTTGAACGATCGGGGCCGCGATCGGTTCAAGGTTGAACGACCGACGCGGTGTCAACAAGCTGTGCGCGCGCCGACGCCGCACGCACCTGCGACGCCCGCGCCAGCGACAGGCCGCACCGAGGATGGGCGTGGCATTCGGCGCCCCTGTGGGCGCGAGTCGCGCTCGCGCAGCCCCTCCCAGCCCGCGCCAGTGCGGCGGGTGTCGCCGGGCCAGGGGAATTGTTGCCGTCGCGCGTGCGTCGGTCGAGCGCGCTCTTCGCGTGCATTGCCAAGCGCGCTGTTCGCGCGCGTAAGTCGACCGTCGACGCGCCAGGAATGCCGCGTACGCATGCAGAAATGCGAGGGCACGCAGGTGTGGGAGGATGTCTCGAGCGAGACGGTTGCTTGCACGCGTCCAGGTCGACTAGGCAGATGTCTCGCCTCAGGATTTGTTGAGGATGTCTCGAGAGAGACGCTTGTTTTCGCGTGTCCAGGTTGCCCCGGCGGATCTCTAGCATGAAGATGTGTTGAGGATGTGTTGTTGAGCGGAGCGCTTGGTTTCACGTGTCCAGATCGCCCAGGCGGATGTCTAACATGAGCAATTGTTGAGGATGGCTCGAGAGAGAGAGAGACGCTTGTTTTCACATGTCCAGGTCGCCCAGGTGGATGTCTAACATGAGGATGTGTCGAGAAGGTCTCGAGCGAAACGCTTCTTTTCACATGCCCAGGTCGCTCAGGCGGATGTCTAACGTGAAGATGATTTGAGGATGTCTCGGGCGAGGCGCTTGCTGTCACGTGTCCAGGTCGCCCAGGCGGATGTCTAGCATGAGGACGGGTTGAGCGAGACACTTGTTTTCACGTGCTCAGGTTGCCGAGGCGGATATCTAGCATGAAGATGTGTTGAGGATGTCTTGAGCGAAACGTTTGGTTCCACGTGTCTTGGTCGCCCAGGCGGATGTCTGACATGAGGATGTGTTTAGGATGTTTCTCGAGAGACGTTTGTTTTCACGTGTCCATGTCGCCCAGGCAGATGTCTAGCATGGGGATGTGTTGAGGATGTGTCGAGCGAACAGCTTGGTTTCACGTGTCCAGGTCGCCCAGGCGGATGTCCAATATGAGGATGTGGGCGATGTCTCGAGCGAAACGCTTGTTTTCACGTGTCCAGATCGCTCAGGCAGATGTCTAACATGAGGATGTGTTGAGAAGGTCTCGGGCGAGACGCTTGGTTTCACGTGTCCAGATCGCCCAGGCGGATGTCTAACTTGAGGATGTGGTGAGGATGTCTCGAGCGAAACGTTTGTCGCAGTAGAGCGCGTTGCAGTCCAGTCCCGCCCGTCCGTGGGGCGTCCCCTGGCGCCCTGGCGCGCCCCCTGGTGCGTCCCTTGCGAGGTTCTGGCGTGACGTGCCCTGGCACGTCCCCTAGCACGCCACTCGGCGCGGCACGTTCCCTGGCTCGTCCTCTGTCGCGTTTCCTTGCTCGTCCTGAGGCGTTTCCCCTGTCCCCGTTCCGTGGCGGGCCCCTTGCAACGTCCCTTGGCAGGACGTCCTCTGGCCGCCCCATGGCACGCGTTTTGGCACGTTCCGTGGTAGGTCCCTGACACGTTCAGGGCACGTCCCCTGATGCGTCCCCTGGTACGTCCCCTGGCGCATCCCCTATTGCGCCCCTGGCACATCCTGTGGCGCGCCCGTGAGCCTGTGCCCCGTGTCGTGTCGTCCCTTTTCGGAGCTGATGCGGATTTTGAGGTCGAGTTGATTAAACGTCCTCCACGTTTCCACTCCAACTAGCTCTGGGGCGGCTATGATGTGCTCAGGCAGCTCGAACTCAAGATCCAGATCAGTTCGGTCAGGACTCATATGCTGAGGAGGACTCGATCCACAACGCTATACAGCACAATCGCGGCATGGCACATCGCAGTTCAGCACGGCACAGCACAGCATAGCCCTTGGCACGGTACATCAAGATCGATGCTGTTATCATTGCAATTGCCCGTCGCCTTGCTTCACACTTCTATCTCCCTTCCCGGGCTTGTGGGTCGATCATGTAGTGTGGAAATTTGCTCCCAGTGCCAAGTTCGAAGAGGGCTGGCGGATTCTTTCCTGGATAAATAACGAATTCGCAAAGGGCCGGCGGACTCAAATTTGAGAATGTCTCAGGCGAAACGCTTGTTTTTGAAATCTCGAACGATAAATCACAGGGTGCGGGACCCTTTCTGGTCCCAGAAGTATCAGAAGTGCATTCCGTGCGTGCCCGCTCGAGGAAGGTGCACCCATGGGGATATCTAACATGAGGTCTCAGGTTTTTTCGCGCGTAAAAAATGCATGTGCGGAGGGGGTATCTAATATGCGTCTGGCGCTTGTGCACTTGCCCGCTCAGGGGGTATCTAACATGGTTGTCCCGAGCTGGGACCACGTGCTTTTACATGTTCAGCACGCCCAGGGGGGTATCTTGCATGGTTGTCCCGAGCTGTTGTTTTCAAAAACTGCGTTTCGCGCGTGCTCGCTCGAGAAAACTGCGCCCCCTATTTTGGATCATTTATAAATAGCAGGGTCCGCAGACACCCGTTTCCCTTTCTAAAAAAGGGGCGCGGAGCTTTTCGTGCAGAAGCCATTATGAAAACGCAAGGTATGGAGACCCTACCCAGAATATTGAGCAATTGATGTTTTGCGTGCCCGCTCGAGGATGGCGCGTCCCGCGCGCAGGAATTTCGAGGAGCGGAATTATCTCCGATACATAACTAGGTAAAGGCTGACTTCTTTTGGATGAAATTCGTTTCGCGCGTGCCCGCTCGAGGAAAATGTACCCCCGACCTCGGATCCTCTATAATTGACGGGTCCGCAGACACCCGTATTCCGTTGTAAAAATTGTGTGCGAAGCGGTTTGCGTTAAATCCGCGATAAGACACGAGGTTTGAAGACCGCAGAAGTTTACAAAACATATGGAACAGTTATGTTGTTGCTTGCCCGCTCGAGGATGGCGCGTTCCGCGCCCAGGAATTTCGAGGATGTCTCGAGCCCGGCGCTTATTTTTCAGAAGGAAGGTTTGCTCTTTGCGTGTCCGCTCGAGGATAGCGTACCCTGCGTGCCGAAGTTCTGCGGATGCCTCTGGCGAAATGCTTCTTTTGCAGCGATCCTGGCCCTGGGAGCGCGGACGCCGCATACTTGACGAGAAGCCTTGGCCCTGGAGTCGCGAACCCAGCGTAATTCACGAGGGATCGTGGCCAAGGGAGCGCGGGCACTGCGCAATTCACGAGGGGGCGCGGCCCTGGGAGCGCGGACGCAGCGCGGTCTACGAGGGATCGCGGTGCAGGGAGAGCGGACGCAGCACCATTTACAAGGGATCGTGGCCGGGGCTGGCACGGGCGCAGCGTAATTTACGATGGACCGTGGCCCAGGAAGCGCGGACGCAGTGCGATTTAGGATAGATGCTGGCCCTGGAGGGGCGGACGCAGCATAATTTATTAGGGGCCCTGCTCCTGGGGGCGCGCACGCAGCGCGATTCACAAGGGAGCTTGGCCCTGGGAGCGCGAACGCAGCGTAGTTGGCGAGGGATCGTGGCCCTGGGAGCGCGGACGCAGCATAATTGACGAGGGATCGTGGCCCTGGAGGCGCGGACCCAGCGCGATTTTCGAGCGATCTTGGCCAGGGGAGAGCGAACACTGCCTAGCTCACCAGGGGGCGCGGCCCAGGGAGCGCGGGCGCAGCGTAGTTTTGCCAGGGATGAGCGGGCGCAGGGAGAGCGGGCGCAGCAACATTGACGCGGGATCGTGGTCCTGGGGGCGCTGACGCAGCGCAGTTTACGATGGATCGTGGCCCTGGGAGCGCGGATGCCGCGTAGTTTACGAGGGATCCTGGCCTTGGGTCACGGACGTCCCGTGGCACGTTCCCTGGCGCGTTCCTTGGCACGTCCCCCGGCGCGTCGCCTGGCACGTTCTCTGGCACGTTCCGTGGCGCGTCCGTGACGAGTCCCCCTGGTACGTCGCACGGCGCGTCCCCTGGCACGTGCCGTGGCACGTCCACTGGCACTCTTCCGTAGCGCGTCCCCCTGGCACGTCCCGCGGTGCGTCCTCCCTTTGGCACGCCCTCTGGCGCGCCCTCTGGGACGTTCCGCGGCGCGTCCTCCTGGCGTGACCCCCCCCCGGCTCCTCGCGTCGGGGCCGCAGGAAAACGCGATGCGGTCATCTCAGCGGGTGTGGTCTGCCTCCCGAGGGGGCCCTCGCCCGGCCTCACTGGGCCTGGGGGCCGTCAGGAAGGACTGCGAAGAGCCGATCCTCTGGAAACGGGTCCAGACCTCTGGGGGTCTCTTGGGGACCTCCTGGGGGCCTCCTGGGGGCTTCTGGGGGCCTCCTGGGGGCCTCTTGGGGCCTCCTGGGAGCCTCCGGGACCGAAAGCTCGGAATTTGAAGCCCAGGGTTCTCTTTTAGATGTTCCCCCTGGCCTCGTCTTGCGTAGGGCCGGCGAATTTAATCAGCGACAAATAACTCGGTCGTGCAGCCCTAGCGAAACGCTTGTTTTTGAAATCCCGCTCGATAAATCACAGGGTGCGGGACACAGTTTGGTTGAAGAAATGCTCTCACCCTGTGTTTTTCCCAGAGAGGGCATCGGCCCAGGGTTCTCTTTTGGATAGTTCCCCCTGGGCCTCGACTCGCGCAGGCCCGGCGAATTCATCGGTTGAGGATGTCCTTAGCGAAACGCTTGTTTCTTGCTATAGATCGTTTTTCTCCTGGGGCCAAGAATTCAGAGGACTTCCAAGGTGAAATGTTTGTTTTCACGTGCCCAGGTCTTGAGGATGGCTCGAGCGAGACGCTTGTTTTCACGCCTCCAGGTTGTCCAGGCAGATGTCTAGCATCAGGATTTGTTGAGGATGTCTCGAGCGAGACGCTTGTTTTCACGTGTCCAGGTCGCGCAGGCAGATGTTTGGCATCAGGATTTGTTGAGGAGGTCTCGAGAGAGGCGCTTGTTTTTTCGTGTCCCGGTCTGCCCGATGTGTTGAGCGAAACGCCTGGTTTCACGTGTCCAGGTCGCCCAGGCAGATGTCTAACATACAGATTTGTTCAGGATGTCTCGGGGGAGGCGCTTTTTTTCACGTGTGCACAGGTCGCCCAGGCGGATGTCTAAAGTGAAGATGTGTTGAGGATGTCTCGAGCGAGACGCTTGCTTTCGCGTGCCCAGGTCGCCAAGGCGGATGTCTAGCATGAGGATGTGTTGAGCGAAACGCTTGTTTTCACGTGTCCAGGTCGCCCATGCGAATGTCTAGCATGAGGATTTGTTGAGGATGTGTTGAGCGAAACGCTTGGTTTCACGTGTTCATGTCGCCCAGGCAGATGTCTAACACGAAGATTTGTTCAGGATGTTTCTTGGTAGGCGTTTTTTTCACAGGTCGCCCAGGCCGATGTCTGGCATGAGGTTGTGTTGAGGATGTGTTGTGCGAAACGCTTGTTTTCACGTGTGCAGGTCGCTCAGGCAGACGTCTAGACGTCTATCATGAGGGGGTGTTGAGAACCTCGCGAATGAGACACTTTGTTTCGCGTGTCCAGATCGCTTAGGCGGATGTCTACCATGAGGATTGGATGAGGATGTCTCGAGCGAAACGTTTGTCGCAGTAGAGTGCGTCGCAGCTCTATCCCCCGCCCGTCCGTGGGGCGTCCCCTGGCGCCCTGGCGCGACCCCTGGTGCGTCCCTTGCGACGTTCTGGCGTGACGTGCCCTGGCACGTCCCCTAGCACGCCACTCGGCGTGGCACGTTCCCTGGCTCGTCCTCTGTCGCGTTTCCTGGCTCGTCCTGAGGCGTTTCCCCTGTCCCCGTTCCGTGGCGGGCCCCTTGCAACGTCCCTTGACATGACGTCTTCTGGCTGCCCCATGGCACGCGTTTTTGCACGTTCCGTGGTAGGTCCCTGACACGTTCAGGGCACGTCCCCTGATGCGTCCCCTAAGACGTCCCCTGGCGCATCCTCTATTGCGCCCCTGGCACATCCTGCGGCGCGTCCGTGAGCCTGTGCCCCGTGTCGTGCCGCTCCTTGTCGGAGCTGAGTTGGATTTTGAGGTCGATTTGATTGAATGTCCTCCACGTTTCCACTTCAACTAGCCCTGGGGCGGCTATGATGTGCTCAGGCAGGTTGAACTCAAGATCCAGATCAGTTCGGTCAGGACTCGAAGCTGAGGAGGACTCGATCCACAACGCTATAGAGCACAATCGCGGCATGGCACATCGCATTTCAGCACGGCACAGCACAGCACAGCTTTTGTCACGGCACGTCAAGAACAATCTATTCAGCATTGCAATTGCCCGTGGCAAAATCAGGTGCCTTGAACACGTTGCCATGCTTCACATTTCTATGTCCCTTTCCGGTTTCGTGGGTCGATCATGTTGGTGTTCTCGTGGCGTTGGGTGCCCTTTTTGTTTTCGGTGGTCTTTTAGGTTTGGGCGCCTCCTTGGTTCTGGGTGTCCTGAGGTTTTGTTGGCGCGCTGTCGGTGTTCGGCAACTCGGAGGTTGCCTGTGTCTGACAGGTTTTCGGCGCGCGAAAGGGACCCACGTGTTTTCATATGTTCCGCTTTGGGGCGAAAAGGGACCCATTTGTTTTCACGCTTGCTCCAGGTCGCCCAGGCGGATCTCTAGCATGAGGATTTGCTGAGGATGTCTCGAACTAACGTTTCTTTGTTACGTGTCCAGGTGGCCCAGGCGAATCACTAACATGGGACTGTGTTGGGGACGTCTAGAGCGAAACGCTCGGTCTGCAGGATTTGGTGAGTATGCCTCGAGCGAGGGCCTCGCCTGCAACGAACGTCTCCCTCTGCAGGATGTGTTGTTGATGCATCTCGCGAAACGCTGGTTTTGCATTGGTTGAGGAGGTGGCGTGCGGGGGCCTTGTTGTCGTTTGGGTGCGTTTCGTTTCGGTTCGGATTCGCCCCCCGATCGGTTCGTCACGTTCCGAACTGAATCAGATCCTGGGTTCGATGTGGTTGAACGCTCCGCATGTCACGACTGCAGCCAGCTTTGGGCGAGCCATGCGCGCAGACAGCCTGAGCTTGAGCTCCAGATCAGTTCGGACAGGATTGGGGTGCCAAGGATGGCTTGATCCGCATAGCGACAGAGAACAACACAGTTCAACACAGCACCACGCAGCACAGTGCAGCACAGCACGCATCAATAACACTGTACGCCAAGTCGCGGCCCTGGTCATTTGCGAGGGGCCGTGGCACCTCGGAGTGCGGTTCCCTCGTCAGGCGGCGCCATGCAGTTTCAGAAGCCTACTCGTCTTGGTTTGTCTCGTCTCGCTTCGGTTCGGGTCGGTTCGGCCTTCGTCTCGGTTCGTATCGTGTCGGTTCGTCTTGATGCAGTTCGTGGCGTTTGGGTTCGCCGAGCTTCGGTCCGTCCACCCTCGGTGCGTTTCGCGTCGGCTCGGAGTCGCCCCCTCTTAGCGCGTCCCGCTACGGAGCTGAAACAGATGTCGAGCTCGAGCTGGTCGAGCGCCCCGCTCGGTGCGATTGCGACCAGCTCGAGATATGCGTCCAGGCAGCTCGAAATTAAGATCCAGATCATTTCGTCAGGGTTCCGATGCCAAAAACTACCTCATCCGCAACGCAATAGAGCACAGCACATGTCAACGCGGCATGGCACATTTCAATTCATCACAGCACAGCACAACGCATCCCCTGGCACGGTACATCACCCGCGTTACCTTGAGTTTTGCAATTGTTTAGTGTCTCGAAGACTCTCCATGATTCACAGTTCTATATATATATATATATAGATCCCTTTCCGGGTTCGTGGGTCGATCATGTTTCGAGCTATGTCCAGCCGCGGGCCCCCCGAAGGCCTCGATTCGGGAAGACAATCCGGCCTGGACGGAGAGGGACTTCTGGGAGATACAATCTCGGCTTGGGCCTGCCTGGCTTGCACCTCGCGGCCCGGGCTGGCCTGGGCTGGCCTCGGCTCCTGCGCGCAGTGCTCCCGAGGATGTCTCGGGCGAAGCGCTTGGCTTGCAGAACTCGAGAGGCCTGGGCGCCTCCGGATGGCGCCGCGCACGACCGACCTAGAACGGCGATTTCCGTCGGTTGCTCCGTAGGCACCGACCAGGCCCGAGGTCACCAAATTGTGTCGGACCATCTGTACACTCCATGTGTTCGTGCACGCCTGCGCCTTTTTCCGCTGGCCTCTCTGCCCGAGGATTTCTGCAGCGGGGGGAGGGCAGCCTGCGGCTCTGGCCAGTAGGCTTAACAAACAAGGCGACGCCCAGTCCGACGCCCAGTCCTACGCCGAGCCCAACGCCCAGCCCCTTTGCGCCGCTTTATTGTCTGCAGATTGTCACTGGCACTGCGTCCAACAATCAAGGCAGCGTGGACGTGAGCGTGGACGTGGGCAGTGGACTTGTGCAAGAGGCCTCCGGTGTCTTTGCCCAAGGTGCAACAGTGCTCTCGAAGTGTTTTTCCAGCGCGATCCTGGCGCTGCAGATGCGCAATCCAACAACGGATGCCTGGGCAGGCAGCATGCTGTATTCCACAGATGGTGGCAACACATACGTATCGGTTGCATGCGCAGACTGTTCGGGGACTACAGATTCAGGCTCCATGGTTTTCGATGGAAACACCGACGGAGCCAACCAGGGTTCGACTCAGTGCCTCAATGGAAATACGTGCAGCTTCATTATGCCGACTCTTGCGCCGACGATGGCGGCGCCGAATCTTGGAGGGGTCGGCGCCACTGGCGATCACCGTGATTTTCCAGGGCTCGTGGCCATGGGAGCGTGGACGCCGCGTCATTTACAAAGGATCCTGGCCCTGTAAGCGCGGACGCATCGTAATTTACATAGGGTCGTGACCCTGTGGGGGCGGACACAGTGCAATTTACAAGGGATGCTGGCCCTTGGAGCGCGAACACAGTGTAGTTCACGAGGGATCCTGGCGATGGGAGCGCGGATGCCGTGTAATTCACAAGGGATCAAGGCCCTGGGAGCGCGGATGCAGCGCAAGTCTAGACGCTTCGCGTAACCCCACCAGCGCATCCAGAGACGATGCCCAGAGGATTTGCCTCGATCAGGAAAGTGGACAGCACGCAGATGAAGTGTCCCTCGTGGAGCGTTTTTGGGACACTCTTGGGCGCTCTTGGGACCGTCTTGGGGTTCTCTTGGGCCTCTCTTGCGTCTTGGGGGCCTCTTGGCGGTCCCGGGGGCCTCTTGGAGCGTCTCGGGGAGCCTCTTGAGGCCTTTGGGAGGTCTCTTGGGAGCCTCTTGGAGGCCTCTTGGGCCTTTGGGGGCCTCCTGGGCGCCTCTTGGGGCCTTCTTGAGGCGCTCTTGGGATCCTTGGGAGCGCTCTTGGGGCCATCTTGGAGGACATCGATCAAGCAAGAGAGGAGCATTAATTGGCGTTGCCCCTCGGGAGCCCTAACAGTCGCCTCTTGGGGCGCTCTTGGGGCGAGTGCTCTTGGGCGCTCTTGGGGCCGTCCTGGGGCTCCCTTGAGCCTCTCTTGGACCCTCTTGGCCCATCTTGGAAGGCCTCGAATGGCCATCGGAAGCAAAAAGGCGAGACAGCCAAAACCATGGACTTCCCAGGTTTCGGAAGGATCTTGTCCCCCTCGGGGCCTCCTGGGGGAGCTCTTTGGGCACCTGGAGCCGTCTTGGAGCGGTCTTGTGGCCTCTTTGAGCATCTTGGGAGCCATCTTTAGGCATCTTGGGAAATCTTGAGCCGTCTTGGAGGTCATCCTGGGCTCTCCCAGGTGTTCTTGGAGCTATCTGAATCAGTGCCCCTCCCAGTAGAGTGGCTAAAACCGTAGTAAAATCAAGGAGGAGGAGGAGGCGGAGGAGGAGGAGGAGGCGGAGGAGGAGGAGGAGGCGGAGGAGGGAGGAGGAGGAGGAGGAGAGAGGAGGAAGGAGGAGCAGGAGGAAGAGGAGGAGGAGAGAAGGAGGCGGAGGAGGAGGAGGAGGAGGAGGACGAGGAGGAGGCGGAGGAGGAGGAGGAGGAGGAGGAGGCGGGGGGAGGAGGAGGAGGTGGAGTAGTGGAGGTGGAGGCGGATGAGGAGGATACAGAGAAAGAGAAAGAGGAGGAGGAGAAGGAGGAGGAGGAAGAGGAAGAGGGGGAGGAGGAGGAGGCGGAGGAGGCGGGAGGAGGAGGAAGAGAAAGACGATGACTAAGAGGAATACTACTAATACTAATAATACTAATACTAATAATACTAAGAAGAGTACGAAGAAGACGAATACGCATACTAATACTAAGACGAACAATAATAAGAATTCTACGAATAATAATACTAATACTAATACTAATACGAATACTAGTAATAATACGAATATTAAGATTCATGTTAAGGCTGCTACTACTATTAAGAATAAGAGTAATAATACGAGTACTACTAATAATACTCGTACTAGTAGTAGTATCAATAATACTAATAAGAGTAATAATAATATTACTAAGACTACTAAGAATAACAATATTAACAATACGACTACTAAGAAGCATAACACGAAGAAAACGAACACGAAGAAGACTAAGAAGACGACTAATACGACGCCGACGAATACTAATAATATTAAGACGAAGACGGATCATACTAATACTAAGAAAAAGAGGAGGAGGAAGAGGAGGAGGAGGCGGAGGAGGCGGAGGAGGCAGAGGAGGCGGAGGCGGAGGGGGCGGAGGAGGCGGAGGAGACGGAGGAGGCGAAGGCGGAGGAGGCGGAGGAGGCGGAGGAGGGAGGGGGAGGAGGAGGAGGAGGGGGAGGAGGAGGAGGAGGAGGTGGAGGAGGAGGAGGAGGTGGAGGAGGGGGAGGGGGAGGAGGGGGTGGTGGAGGTGGAGGCGGAGCGGAGGCGGAGGGGGAGGGGGGAGGGTGAGGGTGAGGGGGGGGGGGGGGGGGAGGGGGGTGCAACTGGGGAGGGGGGGGGAGGGGGAGGAGGAGGGAGGAGGAGGAGGAGGAGGAGCAGGAGCAGGAGGAGGAGGAGAAGGTGGAGACAGATGAGGAGAACGAGGGGGCGGATGATGATGATGCTGATGATGATGATGCTGATGCTGATGATGATGATGATCATCATCATCAGCATGATCATGATCATGCTCTTGATTATGATGATGATGATGCTGATGCTGATCCCGATGATGCTGTTGCTGATGATGATGATGATGATCCTGATGATGCTGATGATGATAATGATGATTATGATGATGCTGCTGAATATGATGATGCTGATGCTGATGATGATGATGATTATGATGATGATGCTGAGGATGATGCTGATGATGATGATACTGATGGTGATGCTGCTGATGATGATGACGACGATGATTATGATGATGATGATGATGCTGATGCTGATGTTGATGATGATGGTCATGATGATGATGATGATGCTGATGGTGATGGTAATAATGATGATGATGATGATGATGATGATGATGATGATGGTGCTGATGATGATGATGCTGATGCTGATGATGCTGATGCTGATGATGATGCTGATGATGCTGATGATGATGATGATGACGATGACGATGATGCTGTTGATGATGATGATGCTGATGATGATGCTGATGATGATGATGATGATGATGCTGATGTTGATGCTGCTGATGATGATGATGACGATGATGATGATGCTGATTATGCTGCTACTGATGATGATGCTGATGACGATGCTGATGATGCTGATGATGATGATGATGATGATGA